CCTATTCAACATTGCCTCATTCTATATGCCATGCTATACCTTCTCTATTCCACCAAGCCTTATTTCTATGCTGTACGTTCTGCCTCATCTATACACTTTTTTGTGCACGTTATATTCCGCACTGTCTCGTTCTATACACTGTGCTGTATATTATTTATCCTGCATCAACCTTACAGGCCCAGCAGCTCTAGTTTGTATGTGTGTCCGGGAGTGCTAGGACTGGGGTGTCAGATGTTTGGACAAGGGTGCGATTTCAGTGTTTGCCATATTAACAATAGATACACCCCTGCTGGGATTACTCACTGATTGTTCAACATCTGTGTTTTATGGGGAAATAAAGATTTTTATCACCAACAAAACTGTGTGTACTTGCATGTTTATTTCTAGTTTTAGAGCCTCTGTTTGTTAAAATCTGAGATTGAAGTGGCACACCAAAATGTAATCATCCAGATATGGCAAGATTAAAGACTTTATCCCAAAACCAATGCATTGTGGGGTTCAATGAATACCTCCTTCATCAAGGCTGCAAAGGAGGAATTTAAAGAGTAAGTCAAATGGAAATACAGTCTCCTGTCGAAATTTAAAATGTATTCATTTATTTGTATTCACTACAGACACTGTATACATTTTACATTTTTTAAATTCCATGTTTGCAGCCCTGATAAAGGTTGTGTTTTTTGACCCCCCAAAATGTGTTGGCTCAGCACAGCAAGGAAACGGGACGTTCTTTGGTGTGAAGAATCCAGACATCTATAACATTAAGATAATAAAACAGTTGCAGCACCACCGTTGCAAATTTATTTCCTAGGTTTTAATTGCTGCCTGTGTCCTCATTTTTTGCTGTGTGATCCTTTCACAGCAGTAATATACTTTCTTACTAAATGTACCCACACATATTATATATTGTTTTTTAGAGGACAGATAGGGCTATATAATTATATCACATATGTGTACCTAACCCCTCACTTAGTTTGAATAAAATAAAAAAAATGAGGAAAAAAAACATGAAAAACACTTTTTTCACATGTTTTGATTATTATTATTTTTTTTAGAATTTTTTTGTATTAATTATAGTATAAAAAA